TCATTATCGTTATTATTATCACAGTTCTGTTCTCCTCCCCTCTTGTTTGTAATTACCGTCAACAACGGACCACTTGACGTAAAAATTCATTTTTCGCTTCTCGCCGTATTAGTTACTATTATACACAGTATCGACTGAACAACAGTGTTAGAATTTCACAAAACTTTACAACTTTAATTAGTTTATGCTTTAGTTACTACCATGAACAAATATCACCCTCTTGATACTTTGAGATTGATTACCATCTAGTAAACAACTCTCACCACTAGATTTGTATGTGATTTTTACGTTTTGAAAATGATATATACCAGTGTAGAGCCATTGATGAGGAACTATTTTTAAAAAAAATATTTCTACGCTCACATTGTTTATTTTCGAAGAAAGACTAAAACTGAACACTCTCTAGTCATTAATACAAACAAACAAGTTATTTTCCACGAATATCGAAAAAATGAATTTCACAGATTCAACAAGTCGTAGAATCGCACCTGCTGCGGCGACATTCGTCAAACTAATACACATAGGACCCATTTGATTCATCACTAATGGATAGAATGCACATCACTATGGTGGGCTTAGAAATAACTATCAGGATGCAGGACCATAGTTCAATTCATTCAACAAGTAAGTTATCACACGTAATGCTTATCCGTAATCATTTTAACTAATGAAATTAACCATCCTTGGTTTGAATGTCAGCTTTATGAGAGTCGTTAATTTATTAGATGGTCAAAGCGACTATCAGCACAAATCATAAGAGCCTAGAGTACAGTTTCAAATCCTCCTATAAAATTCTACAACTCTGAGTATTTCGATAAGGCTATTAGAAGACGAAGATTATCTGAAAAATGTGCTGTATTTGCGCAATACATTTCCAACAATCTGATCACACATTTACTTGTCAAGTCAATTTATATATGAAAATTAAAGGTCAAATATAGTGAATATGAAAAGGTTGTGACACTAGTCTTGGTAATATAATCAGATAAGGATTACCAAGGTAAATTAAATGAAACAACAAATTGTTTTTGTGCACACAGCGGGGGATTAAGTTTACAAATGGCTAACGCTTCGGCAAACTTAAGTATACGCCCCTGATTATTCCTGTATATTATCTTAAACGCTGTTTTCGTATTAACCCTGTGATTCATTTCAATAATATGTTTTGCTGTAGATGACGGTGGATGTCTGTCACCTGCACTTATCAAAGTTTGTGTGTTAAACTGTTTTTCTAGCCATTTGCGGATGTGTTCACCCACCCTTGTCTGCACTGAACGATTACTCCTCCCTATGTATGTGTGTCCACACATACATGTAAATTGGTAAACACAGTGGGATGTGATGTAATCATTTGTGCGAGGTTGAGGTTTGTAGCGAAGGCAGTGTTTTGTCGTCTCAACAATGATAAGCTGAGCTGCATAGTATATTTTACTGATAACGGGTTTTAATCTCTGCTTCAATATCATACTACTTGTTTCCCCTCTGTATGGTACTTTAAGAAATATGCTTTTCTTCGGGACCAAGGAAACTGTAGGCTTTGGGGTCAACTGTTTTTTACAATGGCTGACAAACTCTAATGGAAAACCGTTTTCCACTAGAGTGTCTGTCAGAAACTTATTCTCATCATCCATCGTATGAGATGTACAAATACGTTGGATTCTATTGAACAAGCATCTTACCAAGCCTCTCGTATATTTCATCGGACAAAAACTATGGAAATTCAAATACTGTCCTGTCCAAGTAGGCTTCCTGTATATTGATCGTCTTATAGATCCATCTTCCCTCCGGCACAAGAGTATATCAAGAAATGCAAGTTGATGATCTTTTTCTTCCTCACATGTCAGACTGATATGATCTTGTACGGTATTAAGCCTTTTTAACAACCTCTTGGCATCCTCATCTGTGTCACATATAACAAAGATATCATCCACATACCTTCTATAGAGTGTGACATTGGTGAATAGATCTTGAGCCGTTAGTTCAGTATGTGACATATATACATCAGCTAATAACGGTCGTAATGGACTCCCCATGGCATATTTCTTAAAGTACCATACAGAGGGGAAACAAGTAGTATGATATTGAAGCAGAGATTAAAACCCGTTATCAGTAAAATATACTATGCAGCTCAGCTTATCATTGTTGAGACGACAAAACACTGCCTTCGCTACAAACCTCAACCTCGCACAAATGATTACATCACATCCCACTGTGTTATTCCTGAGAAAGTAGCACGTAAGCAAACAATATTGTTGCCGATTCAATGCTTATCAGGTATTCCCCCAAGATAAACAGATTTATACACTCATACATATTACCTCAACATGTCTGAATATCGAAAACAGGGTTTTTTTTCTCTCATGGTTATGTGTTGTAATTTACAGCTAGTTCATATAGATTAGAAGTGTCAGTAAATTGCACAACCAATCGTCTAAAAAGGTCTCGTTCATATTTTCAGGAGACACTGGAACTGTATTAAAATATTCTTACAATAAATAAATTAAAAATAATTAGGTTTCTAGTCAATAAAAATGAACAGTATATAGACTATAATGCACTGGTTAACTTATCCTGGTTGTGGACTTTGATCGTAGAGATAATGGGCTTACTAACCTCTTCACCAGTGAATTAGAACCAATCAATTTGTTCCTACCGTTAACCTAGACAAAGAAAATAAGCCTATGTGCCAGTTGGACTATGTGGTGACTGACTGATTTTTGAGTAGCTTTCATTACCGATAGGCACTGATTGAGAAATCCCTGAAGACTCGGAAGCACTGGTTAGCAGTTTTGTCAGTAGTCCATCTTCAGAAAACCTTTACTTATAAAGAAGTTGCTTATTGGTGACTGGTTTTGAAACAGATTTCTGGAAGTTCTGAGGAAAAAATGAGATCGATTGGGTCAACCTAGTTAGGAGTGAGGTGGATACCCACAGATGATAACGGATGATGGTCACATTATATCACGAATTCATCGGAGTTGGAAGATATGAACTTTTGAACTACAACTCAACAGCAGAGATGTAACGTGCTTATTGCAAGACCTGATAATGTTGAGTTCTAAACCTGACTAATGCGTGAGCCCTCACTACTTAAGAGTAACAATCGACGACGGAAAAATTATTTGGTGCGCTTAGGTTTCTCACGTTCAATAATCCTGAAAACTAATCCCCGATTGATAGAAAGCAGTCTAAGTAGGGATCAAAATTTTAAGTCATTAACCGCCAAGGTAGAAGCTTTTGTATTTGCATTTTTGTTTCATATCGCAGTGTGGTCAGGAAAAACCTTATTGGATGATTTTGTCCTACAGCTGGCCAATCAAGATAAGTTATTTAACTTTTGACCTAGTAGTTTTATAAGTTCATTAAAACTGTATACAAAAGATTTAAAGTATCTTCCTTACAGTCACAGACCAGTCTTTTTGTCTAATATTTTCGTGGCTCAGTTGAGTATATATGGGGTACAGAAGGAGAACAGTTTCTATTCTTATCCAGTCCTAGTGTCCCATTGCATTAGTATGGTTCGCGTATTTCTTGTTATTCACTCAGTCATTTCATTGATGAGGATTATTTTGAAATCCTACATGTGTTACCTGATACGACACTGAGAGCTATCAGGTAAGAATATTACCACAAAACTATATATTTATCCAAAAAGCAGCTAAGAGGAAAACAAAAGACAGAGTGCTTAGTTGAATGTTTACTTATTTATACAAGATATTGCAGCAATTATTATTCATGTGAAGACATTAGTTAACATTATCTGTCATGTTGTGTGATATCGTCAGTGTGATGAGCATAAAACAGAAATCTAACTGTGGTCTATTGTATCTCACTGTTCATTATTAACACTTCAAGAATTATGTACTGAACAAAAAAGTAGAAGATAAAACAAGAAAAGACCAAAAATATTCCAATGAGTTAGACAAAACAGATTGGCGCTTTTAAGGTGAATTTCAAACTCTGATAGGATTGATGAATATAGTTTCAGGTTACATCGTAATTACCGAAAAGTAAGTAAAGAAAAGAAAACAAAAGCTGAAACTGAAGGGAAATCATTTTACTTTATAAACATCAAGTTTTTAACACACTTAATAAACCGGATCGTGTATAGCTAACTCTGTTATAAATTACCATTTTTATAATAGACAAATTATATTTTTGCCAAAGTGAAAAGGCTTTAATACTGTTCAATGTACTTCCTGTTCAATGTATGTCCACAATTTATTATTATTGAAATTGGAAATAATATTTGAAGCAATAACTGTTTGATTAGATAAAATAAAAATGCTGCAATTTTTATTTTTAGTGTTTATAGTCTTCTATTTATTATTTATTTCTTCATTGGGTTCAATGTTCATGTAGAAATTTATTAAATGTCAAGGTCACCGGAAAATGAACACTTCTTCATCATTGGTTGAAATTCAAATAGTCATTAGAGCATTATGATGTATAATTTTATACCTAAAAGAAAGAATAAAGATCAAATTCAAAGAATAGAATGTATAACTGATTGCCGAATAATCTATAACTGTTTTCTTTAACCATTCGCTTTCTTGTTTTAAAAGAATAATTAAAAGAGAAATGATAAAAATGAAATGAACTAAGACATTTTGGGAAAAAATATGGCGCTTATTTCCTCAAATAAATAATGTATATAAATATGAAAGTGTATAAATGTTCTTAACCGGCTTTTCAGATAAAAATGTACATTGATAAAGGCAGAAAATTGTGTTTATTTTCCTGCATGGAGAAAAATGCTACCAACTGTTCTGACTAGCTTGCAAAACGATATAAATAAATCAACGGAGCATGAAAAAAAATATAGTTCAACGAAGAAGAAAAAGAAATGGAAATTTTTTCGTCCTTTCTAGACTTCTTCAGTAAATCAAAAAGTATAATAATGACTAAAATCATAATAATATTTATAATAATAATAATATTCATGACAGTAATTAGTGTACTGCATTATCACACTCTCATTTAACTAATATAAAATATATTTAATTGCATGAATGAAATGGTATACATTCTGTGTCCATAGATGGCATACTGCAGACAACTAAATTATTACTAATTGGATCAGCATTTACAAAAAATTGATTAGAACTGGCAAAGTTATTAAAAGATGAAGATGATAGTGTTACTGATGTGAATACTGGTTCCTCAAAAACTGATTGTAAAAAGGGACTGTACAATAAATTAGATGAATTTAATGAATTAATATATGTATGAATTGAATTGTTAACTGGTAAATTGTGTACTCCTCTAGTAAAATGATTTTGATAACCATTGGATAATGGTGAGGATGTACTGGAAGTATACATATTATTAGGTATATTCATTTGTTCAATGGCGTCTTGATTTTGACCATTCGATGTAGATGAGTAAGGGTTATGTGCAGTGGACACCGTTGATATCATTGGCGTAGACAGTGTAGCTACTGATGATGACGAAGAAGAAGACGGTGATGATGAACACGTTAATAAGGTGCATTATGATTATTCATACTTTCTGGTTCTTTAATGTTATGCTGAAAGGCTGTGTGATAATAATTTAAGTTGATGTTACTATTTATTTGAGAATTTGTTTGTAGTGAATGATTTGTTTCGACTGAGTTGTTATTCATAATACTATTATTAGTATTATGTATCATTGAAGTAGACTGAATATATGGATTCTGGAAGTGATGTGAATGAGGATATTGTGGATGGTCATCTGTCCAGGATGATAAAGACTGTGGTTTTGCTGATGACGTTGTAGACCTCGATGCTACTACCTCCATCCCTGTTGAGGATAACGATGGTGGTTGACTGATCTGAAAGGAATTTGAAGTCGGTGGATAGCAATCTGTATATTCTGGATAGTAATTTATTTCACCTGCAAATCTTGATGGGACACATGAAGGAGTTGATGAAGGTGGCTTTTTTAATAGCGATTTTGTCGAAGATTTGTCAAGCCAATCACGATTATCATTTGTCATGGTTAGAGATGATTGTTCAGTAAAATACGGATGTGACCAGTAGTTGTTATTGTTGTTATTTGTACTTTGAAACCATATCTCGTTTGAATTACACCGGTCAGTAGTAGAATTTCTTTGTAATATCATATTACTACTATTACTACTGTTATCAACTTCGGTAGTATTATTGTTATTCCTAACAGAATTATGCACATATTGTCTCTGATCAAACGAAACATCTCTTCTGAGGGAAGTGCCATATGAAAATGTTTCAACAGAACGAGGACGACCTGAATTCATTGTCGATGAACATGAATTACGAGAATAAACGTGTGGTTGAGAACAGAAACGCATTTGATCAGTACAATATGAATTAAGAGTAGCTAAATCAAGGTTATTCTGAGAATTACGAGGAGGATATTGATGAAGAGTCGCTGGTGGAGTTGAAGGTGGAGGAGGAGTATTGTTTACAATTGATCCTGGTGTATTTGAATAACACAAGTTCTCTGAATTAAATTCTCCAGGATACAAAGTTGTACGCTGGTTACATTGAGGTTGATAACCATATGATTTGTAGTACTTTCTCCACATTTTAGATAGATTATCTTCATTGAAATTATCACGGTGAACAGATCTTGGGAATGTATTAACACAGCCATTGTTATTATCACTATTTTGGCACTATTATTATTAATAATACTGTGACCATCAACATTATTAACCTTGTTCATGTTATTGAATGACCTGTACTTGAACCTGTACCAGTACAATTACAGCCACTGCCAGCATTGGATGAGCTCATTGATCCAACTCCACTGCTCACTTGAGAACTTGTTGAACTAAGCTGTTCCAGGTCCAACTGAGACGGTGGATTCATATCCACTGATGGATCACTATGATTCTGATCATAGGAAATATGACATGAGTTATCAAGTTGTCGATTTTGTTCTATACAGTACAAACAGGAAGTGATGAAGGAGCATTTGTATTATTCATTCGTGTATGCATTGATCTGTCATAGAAGCAAATATTATTGTTTAAATCTGTATGTGGTGTTTCTAAAAATGTTGACTGACCAAGTGAGCTATGATTACCGGTAATGTTAACATCATTGACAACTTGATTGTAATCATTATTATGATTATTATTGGTAATGTTATCGTGATTTGGATGACCTTTGTGAGGATTAGCAGTTTTCCTGTGATTTTGACGATGATGATGCTGCTGAACAATATTATCATTACTATTATTATTTGATACTGTATTGTTTGTTACACCTGATCCAATGCCAGACGAAGCAGCCGCGCTCTCTGAATCCCATAATTCTAAAAGAAACAAGTAAGAATATAAATATATATTTTTTAAAATTTCAATCCCAGTGCTTACAAAAGAATATATTATTTGCCATCCATAGGGATGGAAACGAATTTATTGATAATAGTGTTGCTAGACCTAGTGAAAAAACGTTTAAAATCAAATAAAAATGCCCACATAACACTAAACTATTTCCATCAGTTTGATGTTGCCTTGTGAATAATCTACCATTTGCACTAGTTTTGCGTCTGTTTAGCTCTCAACTACTCTCTACTAATAAGTAGTACTATTAATGTTAACTTCTTTTATTTTCCTTACGCATAACTAGTTATTTAGTCTTGTTGTAGTGTATTTTGTTTAGCATATTAACACTATAGTGTTGCTGTTCGTTGACTGTATTATACCGTATCAGATTAGTGCACAAATTTCATAGCATTCCGTGAATCCTTGCTAATTTTCAACTCATGAAGTTATCGCGCGCGGTATTCACTCGCTCATTATTCTTTACTGTAATTTGACCTTGACATGCCATTGCTGTGTTTAACACTTTCATAGATATACTTCTTGAGCAGTGCATATGATGATACATTGCATAATTAAAAACCCCATAATTTGAGGACTGCAACTTTAATCATTGTAATTTTTGCTTATTTATACATGAGTGTGTATTCTTGTTTCTATGATTTTGTGCGTTACCTCAGCCTTTAGATATACATTTCGCCAAGTACTAAATTAATGTTCGGTTTTGAAGTTTTAGAGAAAAGTGAAATTAGTTTTTAAGTACTGAAGTGCTGCAGAGTATTTTTGATGTGTAGTGTATGCTACTGAGATAAATGAGTAGCTGATCAACATTCAAGCCAATAAACTGAATGTTTTTAGATGAATTTTAGTTGATCGCTCGCTCAATTTAGTTAAGGAGACAGTATTACAGTGTCGTACAAGTTATATCCTAGCACTGCTAACACCTGTAATGTCGAATCAGTCAAACTTTGTGGTTTGAAAATATTTCATTCAAAAGGAAACTATGTTGAATTTGCACAAGTTGTAATAGCTCATCTGTATGCCTTAAGAATTTATACTTCAGTTTGCCTGCTGGTTGTTCAATGAACTCAAAATTACTGAATACACTATCGATGGACTCATCCAAACATGAGGAGATTAGAACTGTTGTTTGCTATGATTGATTCTTAATTACCCAATCAGTATATATTCAGTTATATCTTAATATATGAGATATGACTATGTAAACTGCTATATAGTAATACTAAGTCCAATTTTGATAGTGACCTTGACTTGACTTCATTAAAACACAGCTTTCAACCAATCAGTATTCAACCCACATTTATGTACATCAGTTTACAGCTGTAACCAGCAGATATGAGTAGTTCAAATGTCAACCTTGACATCCATTAAAAATCTCATTCACTAAAAATGATAAAAAAAAAAAGAAAAAAATCAACAACTACAAAAAAATTATTACCATTTGATGAAGAGTTTCCATGTATTATACCAAGAGGAGTTAAACATTCCATATCACATATTCGAGATTTTTGCTCTATATTATCATCACTATATGAATTGTTCAATGGTGCTGTATTTGAAACACATTTATTTTGCTCAGAGTTCGGAGAATATTCTTCGATCAAGTCGGGACAAAGTTTTGTCGGATTAGTAGTATTGCCTTTCGAACATGTCATTGTATCTTCCACTTTCCATTTCTTAGATAAGGTTAATTGTGAATTATATTCACAGGATGTTTCTTCAGGACAATTTGAAACGTTTAACATTTCATTTAAACAACCATTGGAAATTCGATTGTTTAGTTGATCTAGTGTTTGACTGTGTGACTTTAATGGGAAGTCAATATTTGAATGACAATTTGATGATACTGACAAATTTCCACTTGAAGGCTTAAAAATAAATAGAAAAAAATTATGTAACTAATAAAATATAAATAGCTAATTTATTTGTAGATGTTAATTTCGACTGATTTTAAAAGGCCACCCTAGTAACAGCTGGAATAACCAATCAAACTTCTTTATTATATGAATATCTGCCTTATTAGCCGAAATGAAGAAGCCTAATTGGATATTTCGGTTGTCAAACTAGGATGGTCTTTAAAGTCATTCTTAATTTCAAAGTGATCTAACTGATCCGGGCGACTTTGAATATCACCCCCCTACCAACGATCAAAATAAACAATTAGGTCTCTTTGTTTCGTCTGGAAAGGCAGATTTTCAAAAATGGAGAAGTATAATTGATTATTTCAGTTGTTAGATTGATCTTTGACGTCAGTGAACCCATCCACAGTACTAGAAAAGTACACAATAACTCATTACTAAAACATTAATTGCCAATATGCAAAATGGTTTAATCACTTCAGCTGAATAAGCTGACAGCGGAAAATTGTAAAGTATGTAATGAAAAGTTTTATTTTGTATTTCCTGTCACCAAAGGTTGAAAATCTCACTGAGTGTAAATAAACACATATACTAATCAAATAAATCATGACTTGATTAGCGCAAATGAAATGAAGCTCACTTCATAACTAATTCCCAACTCTATTTCAATATCGTTCTCCTGATTTTATTCAATGAAGAGTTTTCTGTAGGTTGGGCTCCAAAACGGACAAATATGTGCAACTCATTTTTCATACACACTAGCGTTTGGTTATTAAGCCGATACAAAATCGATCTCAGTTTATACTTCATCTTGGTCTAAAATGATTTTTTTAAGCCCGAATTTTGTTGAAAGATGCATGCTCGTACGCAAAACACACACTCAGCCGCTTTGTGCACATCCGTGCAGTAGGCAATGAGACACACTTATTGTGTGGGGGCTAATCCTGCTAATACCTGGCTGTCCATACCTCGGTAAACGAAGCAGGGCTCGAACCCGTGATCCAATGATTGATAGTCACCTCCCTAAACTACATACATGCTTGTGTGAAATGAAAACCTTGACTATACCAGAATTCGAAACAGTAACCCCTTGGGTACCCTCATGGTGCTCTACCAACCGCGCTGCCGAGCTGATGAATTTGTCTTGATTTTACCCTAATCAAGATGAACGGATAGATAAGTACAACAAATTCATACAGCAGCCAGGGAAAATCTGAAAGTTTCTTGAGTTCAAATCCAGCTATCATAAAGGTTTTTACTTCACTTCCAATCATCATTCCGTAGCAATAATGTCAGAATGCCCAACCCAAGGCAGACAGTCTCATTGATTAATTTTTTTCATGATTGTTTATTCTATGGTAATCAACTTAGTGTTCATGTCTGAAGTGTTAATCGAAGTGTATGCGTCAAGAAACAGAATATGACCACTGGCTTTGGTATTAGATGTTAGGATTGAATCACTGGTCAACTTGAGTATCTCATTTATTTACATTTATCAATTAGGCATATTTGAAAAGCTGAGAAAATTCATTTTCTATTGAATCACTTAGTAATGGAGTGAGAAACCTAACCATTAAGCTACTTAAATCATTAACAAACTATTATGAAACTAAATTATGTCTGCGAATGAATCCTTGAATGATAAACTGTTCTACTTTCAAATTTCCTTTGCAGTAGTCAAGTTAATAAAGTGACTATAGAAATGAGTGACTCGAGTATACCGCACACCCAACCCTATGAAAAGGACTGTTTCCTTCAGTAAAACTACAGTTTTTACTTCACTTAACTCATAGTATCATAAATGATCAAAATCAACATTCTCAATATCATGAAATTGGCCAATTTATATGTATCTCATAAATTAACTGCTAATCAACTAGAAGTTTGTTAAACAAACGATAGATATATCTATGGGATCGTCAACATTAGGATTAGTTCTCAGGTTGGAATTCATCATAATAAACTGACATCAGTTGGAGGAACAAGAAAAACCTAGGAGCACTTAACAGCTGTTTCGTCCTAGTATGGGACTCATCAGCAGTGTGCACCCATGACCCCACACCACCAAGGATCGAACCCAGAACAATGGTCTAAAATTCCTACTTCTGTCAATCCATGATATAGCTCGACCTACATCCAATGCCATCGTTGAGTAACTGTCCTCATGTTCTACTTGGTTGACTCCACTGGTCACGACTTCTCATTGGAACTTCGGGAATCACCGCTCGAAGCTAGTCACCATTCAGCTATAGATTAATTCTTTCTAGAGGTTTTTAGGAGGTTTACCAATTGGTTTCAGGTTTGAATTCACTACGACCATGGAACCTATAGGTCTTGGGTTCGATTCCCGGCGGGGTCATGGGTGCCCACTGCCGAGGAGTCCCATACTAGGACAAACAGCTGTCCAGTGCTCCCAGGTTTCTAATCTTCCTCCAACTGATGTAAGTCCACGACAGATTCCAACCTGATATCAATTAATAAACCTCTACAAACCTCAAGATAGAATTAGGGCTAGCTGTTGAAAAAATTCAGAAACTGAAGGTTGACGATGTAAATCAAACTCAAACATTGAAGCGAATTTTCCTTACAGAAAGAGAAAAACGTACAAACAAGATTATGTCTCCAGGTAGCCACACACAATAGTGTCTTTCAGACAGCAGAACACACGCAAGTCACATACAGTGATCATGTTTGAACTGCGACATTGGTCACAGTTCAGCTCATAAGTTATTGCATGCAATAACATTTTAAGGTCTAAAGTTTATTGCAATGCTTGTAAACTGTGCAAATTGGAGTAGAACTACTTGTATATTTTGTGGAAGGCCAACGATTATCTAGTAGATTTCTTTAAGACATCTATGATGCAGTACCATAGTTCTTATCTCACTTCGTGCTACACAGAAGTTTCTTCAGACACTATGTGCCAATTTAGTCACCCACTTACAATAGAACACACACCAATGAAGCTACTCCAGCAATTTCCGTATAAATTAAATGGTTTAATGTAAAAGGTACATGAGCCAAGCATAATTTTAAAGATTAACTACGGAAACTCTTCACAAGACTAATTTGGTCAATCCAGTTACCAGATAACCCAAAGGACGGATTAATGAACTGGACAGATGCACAGACAGTTAAACAGATCACGTGGAACCTCGCACAGAAGTGCATTGGTTCAAGCTACCATGTTTCACAATAGTATGCAAAGAACAATGGATAGGAAAGGCTGGTATCAAACTAGAAAAAACGCATGGGAGGGGAAACAATATAAAGATAAAGGCAAATGAAAATATCCAAGTTTTAGAAGTCATCAAAGAGTGAATACATCCCCGTCACTATGACTAACTTTCAACCATGTCACCAAGAGTCCCCAACCATGATTCCTATCGTTCCAGAGACCCAGTTAGATAGTCTACACCTTCCTACACGGCTCAGACCAGCAGTTAGAAACTTCATGCACCGATGCCACATCTTGGTTTGGCTACCCTGAGCTCTCTTCGAGCCTAAACCATAGCGTTAAAGCAATGCACAGTACCATCCTTGATTTTAGAGCACATGGGTGACAAAATTCAAATGTTTCATCAAAAGAATGCAAAAATCCTATAAAATTCAATAGAAACAGCTCTAAGAAAACTTCTACAGGCCTGAGATCTGAACAAGATGGCAGTAAGTAAAGGATTCAACGATTTGGTGGTCTAGTGGATAACGCTATGGCGTTTGAAGAGATCCGTCTTGTGTTCCAGTCCCGGTGGGAATAACATCACTCACCGGGAGGTAGGTGTATCCATCTGATGAGTCCCAAGTAGGACGAGGTGCGCGTTCTGAATTCCACTGCTAGCCACTATCCATCATTACGATCCAACTAACAGTTTGATAAACAAGAAAACCAGCTTCTTTCAACCACCTGGCAAATTATTACCAGGTCTCATGTTTACAATTTACGTCAAAAGGGACTCTATACCCATGTAAGATACCAGAAGTCCTGATGTGATAAGATGTTTCCTAATTGAGCAGCTTGATAATATACACAGCAAATATACTTCATCCAGATTAATATAAAAGACGAAGTGAAAGGAAAGAACATATAGAATCCAAACAACTAAAATTTACTGATCTTTGTCTAACCTATAGTAGACAGCTCCATCAAACATTTCATTTCTGGTATAATTTCATGACCATTCTATATGAATACTTTGACTTCACATCTAAGCATCCACTACTAAATATGATTTAAATGTAAACCAGGTTTGTCATTTTCCAGAGTAAACGGACTGTCTAAGTCGTTTGTTATTTTTTAAATGAACTATACTGGATAATGGCTGGCAGTGGATTTCCAGGACGCATATTTCATCCTATTTAGAACCCATCAACCAGATGTACCTGCCTTCAAGTGAGTGATGCTATTCCCTCTGAGACTTGAAACCCCAAATAATCGCTTCAAACTCTAGAGGATTATCTGCTAGGCCTTAAATTAAAATCATCTCTTGTGTAATGTGTATAGTACACAAATAATTTCGGAAACTGTAAACTATAACCAAGTGATAAATGGTTAGTCATATCCCCATCCTGAGTTCAGTCAGTGACACACCCTCGTAAGAATCTAGAACTAAGCACAAGTCATATTCAGAAATTCAGGTATATAACAGCATTAACATTATGAAAGTTGTATCTGAAGCCTTCCGTCAAATCATATGATCAAGCTGGGAAGCATATTTTATGTCATAATAGTAAGGTTAGACAAAGTTTTCTGAATAGTAATTACAAATTATTAACACAAATCACCTTTCGTTTCAAAAAAATTTGCCAAAGATATTTATGCTACATAAACGTACCCTTTTCAGATCAGCTTCATTAAAATGTGAACTGGAAGGATTATTATACTGGTGATCTTTATTCATATTGTGATATGATGTTGGATATTTCCAATCTGATATTGAGTCAGATGTTCGATATTTCAAAAATTTCATTGTTGATTCTTTTAACAGCTGATTTGATGTATTATAAGTTCCCATCTGTATTGACTGACTACAATTACTTTGTCTTATGCATGTTGCATAATCTTCGTTTGTCGGAGAGAATACATTTTCTTGTTTCGAGTTAATCAGTTGATAAGAATCATCCAATGCTGAAGAAGGTAATTGGATAGGTTGAGGAGTAACTGAGACAGGCTGTGGTGCTACTGATGCGTCAATTTTTGAATGACGTTTAGAAATAGTGTCTTCTGGTTTTTCATCATTTCCTCTTCCTCCTACAACACTACGAAAGCAAGCATTATCACGTGATGCCGCTGGTGACCAAGAAGGAATTAAATTATTATTGGTTTCTGTATCAATCATATTTCTAGCGAGATCAAAATAACTTGGATAAATGGAATGCTCACACTTGAAATTGGTGAAATAATCATTTCTGTTGTTATATGTTACGGGTGAAGTCATCATTAGAACACTAGAATTTATATTTTGATGAGTATCTTCGGGCAAGTTCCAACTCATATGTGGCGTACTTCTGCCAGACAGATGTGTACCAAATCGTCTGTGCCTAGAAAATTCTGGGTTGTGATATTCTGAGATAGTCTGTACAGAGTTTATATCAACGGGGTGCATCGATGATGTATGAACTGGACTGCCAAGACATGCCAAACAGGCTTCCCTAGTGTTTGATGACGATGGGCGTTGTTCTCGATTTGCATAACCTCTACGATGAAAGATCGCATTGTTGTCGTTCATTCCACGGGAGCCAAATCTTCCACGTGCACCAGGCATCGAACCATTCGGTCGCTTATCTTGTGCAGTGTTATCACTTCCACCTCCAAACATTTGTCCGCCACCAAAACCCGATCCACCACAAGGTCGATCACTCCAACTTTCCCCCTTGTGTTTCTTGTTTGCATAAACCTGATGAACAAAATTTGAAAGTGATGAAATTGAACTGGATTTCTGAAGACCAGTTTAACTGATATTGTTACGAAATATTATCACTAAACCACGTTTAACCGAATGTCTCAAGGTTTCTGATGTCACGTATTCACTTTGCATGAATGAATTATAAACTTACTCTAATATCTAATTTCAAGCAAGAGAAAATTTCTTAAAGTGTTTCTTTTCAGTTGTCATTACTCTGATTTATTCATGATACTATGACTAAGTCATCTAGTTTTAAAATTCAACATCAAGGAGATGTACCAGACTGTTTTGTCTAAAAGAGACAAATAGCTATCTAGTGAACTCTTGACCTTCTGAATAGGTCAAACGGAGTTCTGCTTTTAGAAATTAGCATGGAAATAGGTGACTGTGAAAACATCCAGAAAATTTTCGAAAGTTTTATTAGATGCAATTAATTGTGTCAGTAGACAACTCATATTTCACTTATCTACGCTGGCTACTGATTAAATAGTAAGTAAGCAAAAATAAAAATCATAATTTAAGGCAAGGAACGAACGCAATAAAATGCATGGTAAAATGAATTCATAAATTTCAGTAGAACTCGTCAGTTTGATATTCTATATACTTAGTTTTATAAATATATCATTCAGCAGTGGTAGAGAATATATATACACATCATGGACTGCGACATCGATGTGGGTGTAGTAACACAGAAATAAAGAATCCTGAGAAGCTTGATAACGAAATACTTGATGGACTACAGGTATGATATTCATACCTGTAAGTCTTTTATGATTATCAGTAGACAGTAGAAAAAGGTGCTTACAATTATAGAGGCATCTGTGACTCATGTCATCAAAACTAAACTTCATGTTTACAAAGAAATAGTAGTTAGCTTGAATCAACCAGCTGCATTGTCGTCTAATCATATTTAATCTTCCCTCCTTGATCTTCGCATTCAAATATTACTCATATCCTACACTTCTAGTTTTTCATTCCCGATCTGTTTCGCTTGATTAACCTTAATCTCATTACATTGTTATCATTATCGCTCATCTCAATACACACTTGATTTCCTTATGATTTCGTCTTAAATGACTACTAAATACCCTATTCAGAATAATGTAATCTTTCCTCAGCTCTCACTGCAGTGTCAACATTATTATTATTATTATCACCACTACTTTCTCACCTGAAATCCACTTGATCCTTTAGATTGCACTACTATCCAAACTCATAATCTATTGCGTAACCATGTTCAACCTCTTCAGTTTGAACACCCACTCCTGCCTTTTGCATTGCCACCTGATCTGCAAAAATTGTTCATTTCTATGTTATTACGCCTAAATCGATGTCTCAGTTCACGTCATACATGTATTTATGCCTTTCCTTTTATATTCCTCAATGGTATGTATACTGAAGTGTGTAGAGTATCTGGCTGGCGAGCTCTATTGAAATCTATCAATTCATTTAATCCTGACGAAATATACTACCGAACGACCTAAGTAGTTAGAAGCCATAAAAGCTGATCTATTGATTTCTCCAGCTAGATGAGAGTTATGTAAGCACTAGTTGGCCTTTCCGCTTGTTTGCAGCCGAGTTCACTAGCGGTCTACCTGGACAAATTCAACTGATACAGTCGAATTGTTCAGATCAGCTGAATCTGACAAATTGACTTGTATGAATCGGTATGCCTAAAACAGGATGATCAATCTCCAAATGATTTACAATTGCACAGTCCACTTTGACATTTCTACACCTACAGATCACCCTGGGTGGTTTTCTACTACTCAAGTTGTTCAGTAGTCTCTTTTGTTAGTTTATGACACTCTTGTGTTCTATGATCTTGGCTGAGTGGTTTTCCCACAAGAACCCTGTTGATAACACAGTTGAGCAATGGAAAAACTGCTCAGTTGCGAGAATAACTGACGTGTATCGTGCAATTCCTAAGTCATCCGCAAACTGTTCATTATTAAGTCCTGCTTTTTTTCAAATTCGTTGCTTGTTTTAAATTTGTATCAAGAAATAAACGTTTTCAGTCAAAAACTAAAACATTCTTTGGCTGAGCGTCTTCCAACTAAATCAAATCATAGAATAAGTTTATCCAATACAACCTTCCATTCATATGTATGTACTTAATATAGATACGTAAAAAAACTTACTAAATACATATTATTATTCTCGTTCAACTTACCTCGGCGCCATGAACTGTTTTCACATGTTTCCTCAAAGAACTTGGGTCCGTGTAACGTTTTGAACAACCGTCAACTTTACATGTATAAGGCTTCTCATTACTATGTGTTCTATTTTGATGCTTTGCTCTATCCGATGCATTACTAAACGCTTTATTGCATCCAGGAATTTCACACTGATAAGGCTTTTCACCAGTATGTGATCGAAGATGGGTTTTCAAATTTTCTAAGCGTGAATAACGTTTTGTACAACCTTCAAACTGAAATTAAGAAAAGTAACCAAATGTAAAAACTAGGAAATTTGAAAGATAAACTCATTAGATGTAAGTCGTCATCATCCTTCTTACATGGAATCAAAATGCACCCAGCAACCTTGCGCATATTAGTCCAATAGGCAGTGACCCACACCTATTGAATGAGGGCTAATGATACTACTTAGAGGCCTAAACTTTGGTAGTTGGAGCGAGATGCGAACCCATGACTCACTAGTTAGAACACATCCCCTGAACCGATGAGCGACAGCTCTATGCTCTAATGTGGTCACACAAATAATGGGACTCAACCCAAAGCTCTTAAGAAGACCATGTGTGACCAAACTCGAACAGATAACTTTAGACTCTACGGTCACGTTAAGGGGACCATTTTTTCCTTGAGGTGCGTCGTACAAAAAACTTTAAGGCTGTCAACAACCGGCAGCTACTGACTACTTGAACACTTCCAGCAGGATACAAAACACAATCGTAATATATTTGAAATAACTTGATCTCATTCCTTATCTTCACTTTCTGGTGGTGACATTAATTCCCTTACAATTTTCTCAACTTCTCAACTGACGACTACTGCTAAAGATCTATCAACAAATTGCTGTTCCAAGTCTCTTATAATAACGACACTACATTTCAAATAACAACTTTCAACTTCTAGACTCCATGGCAAATTGAATAACAGAGACTCTTTGACAAAACTCTGGAATCTAGAATCTCAGATATATGCTGTATTTCTGAAACATGCATTCAGAACCTACATAAAGTTATTCATCTTACCTCATCTGGACAATGTGAAGAATCTGTAGAATTCAACTTATGGGCGTTCAAAATTGAATGAATAACTCTTGTGAACCGCCAGTATTTGTTTCTAAAGCATAAAGTTCACTTCTCAACTGAATACCAGTCAAGACTGCCTGTTTGGTGTCCGACTGTATGGGAATATAAGACCTGGACTGTAACCCTCATAAACCCCTCTTCATAGTCTCCATATAAGCACACAGACCAGACCATATGAAAGATGAATTCCGCCAAAAGCTGCCAACTTCCTGCATACAACAAAACGTTCAGATATAGTCATACTAGTAGGCAATTTCAACGCTCAAGTAGGGAAGCTGGAGCAATCAGAAACGTACTTTTGGAGTGACCACAGAATTCCGTCATGATGAACTGACAATGATGATGGTCTTCTACAATTTGTTTGTGACAATAACTTGTTCCTGGCAAGTACTCACCTCAAATGTGTGAATCACCACTGTCTCAACGTGCAACAAAAACAGGTTAACGGGAGACATAGATAGATCATATCTCTATGGGCCACTATTGGATAGGATCAGTCGGGGACTGTCCCTCTTTTGGACCTCCCAGAACGAGAGATTTGAATGGTTAGTGGAACACTTTGGAGAAGAGTACTATTGGTCTAAAACCAAATTTCAGTTCCCCAACACCTAGTCGGGATCTGAATGGGATGTAGATATCCTGCAAGTCTCCCGGAAGCTGGGAAGATTGTTTCAAACCTGAAACCATGCAGTTCAGTCATACTTTGCAGCCTACCACAAGAGGTTCTTGAAGATAAGTAGAGTAACGGAGGCACTAGCTAGTGAATGGGAATCAGATGTAATCCCACCAAACAAGTCTAGATCACCGATCACTCCAGTTTATAAGAAACGAGAGACAGCCACACAGGAATAGGTTTAACTAACATCATGCTCAATGTTCCAAGGTTCATTTTCATCCGATATTTAAGTGGAGCTAAATAATAAAAAAACTAGACAAGATGAGCTAGGTTTCAGACCTGTAGGAGGGTGCATCGACCAAAGCTCCCCTCTTTAGTAGATTTCTGAACGCGAGTGTGCATGCCAGCACCTAACAATTACCATATTTTTGACCGTAGAGTAGCATTCTACACTGTCGAATATGATGTGTTGTACTAGTATCCAATTGTGAATGTAACATTCGACAAGTATATTAGGCTGATCAAAGCCCACTACTCGAACTCAGGTAGGTGGGTAAGAGCTTTCAAAGAGTTATCATCTGAAGTAAAAACAATCATTGGTACCCTCCAAGGAAGCTTACTAACAATATTCTTGTTTAACTTCGTGAAAGATGTGCTGATATATATATATATATATATATATATATATATATATATATATATATATATATATATATATATATATATATATATATATACTTAAATTGGTTGAAAACAGTACTTTTCACTGAATTACTTCTTCTTGAATGACTGTCTCGCTAATTCGGGTTCGAAATGATCGACAGAATATCGAGACAGTTTCTTTTGACAGAGTTAGACCGTTTAACTTGTTTGAATCTGGTTAGCTGAACAGTTCCGTCACTTGGCTAACTTTACTAATTGATTTTTCATATCGTAGAAGTCAAGTTGAATCATAGAATCATCCTGTCTATGAAAACAATTTAAAATAGTATGAGGTAATTGTCTTCCTCTTATTAAATTAGCTTCCATATGAGTTACATGACATGCTGAATATTTAGGCTGCTATTTTTAAGTAGCTACTCTACAATAACTCAACAATCATGCATATGTCCCGTGCAAAAGGCTGATGGTCAAGGATGCCGCTTGACTGCTAAGACTTAGGTAGATAGAGGAGAGTTTTCATCCTTGATTGGCTGTTTGAAAGTTGAGTATCAAGGTCACAGAACTGCAGCTATTATATGTCTTCTCTGACAGTCAGATAATTATATATATTTAAAATTCTTTTCAATAATGGAAATGGTTATTTTTATTTAAAAAAATAATTCAACACTCACTATGCATTTATGTGGTTTCTCCCCTGTATGTCTTCGCATATGTACAACAAGCATATACTGAGCTTTGAATGGTCTTGTTCCACGGACACATTCACGCCATAAGCAAATAAAGCTCTTCTTGTTCCCTGCAATATGTTCGTTACTAAGATGCTAAAATAGAATATAAAACAAATATGTATCTAGACACAATTTTGCAGTAATTAACTTGTCTACTCTTAAGTAGACAGTGTAGGCGTCAAGAATAATCTTAACCCCGGTTTGAGAAGGTTTCGTCGTGTATCACCTCTATATGCAAAGAATAAACACCAGTAAAAGGGCAAATACTGCTGTTTTAACCACAAAAATGTGCTGAATTAACAAGTGTGCTATAAGACTGACTAACCGAATGGTCAATAAATAAATAAATCTTCCAAATATACTAACCCTAGATAAAAATCAATTCAAAATAATTGCAATGTCTTACTACGATACAATGCTGTCGTCGGTGGGACATTTTGATTTTAAGTAGATCTATTGATAAGATAGTAAAAGTTGGTAACGCTCAACTAATGGTCACTGTCCTCCGGAATTTAATTCAGTCGACTAAGGTTTACAGAGTCCTGAATCGACTTGCCGTCTACTTCAGTACCCTTGAACTTGACCTCAACATTGCTCACACGGTCATTCAACAATATGTGACAAAGCAACCAAAACATCTATGACAGAAAAACTGCAACTGCTACATGTCTCCGAGATACAATCGTCACGTCTCACAGCCACACAACAGGATAGAAAGGACTGCAGCACGTTATATTCTTCCATTCACATGTAGTTGAACTTCACGCCAAGCGGCGGCCCATATGACACCAATAAGAAAATGCCAACGGGTCTTGTGTATCCCAGCTGAGATTCCATCACCTACCAGCCGGTTCTCCCGGTTACTGGATCAGGTCCGTAACCATTCAAAGTAAATTGGTAGCGAAAGTGTTCGAATGCGTCGACCGCTTCCTTCCGATTCGAAGTTTCATCACCACAAACAGGCTGCTTGCTGACGAAAACCCAGATCAGATACAGAAGACCCATTCGGCATTTCCCAATCCAGGTCGCCCAATCGCAAAAAAACTACAAAGCACAAGGAAAATATAAAAAATAAAATTAAAATTATTCCTCGCTGCAATCCGAGAGAAGAAATGAACCCAGTTGGTGAAAGCCAACGGGAACCCAATCGGTCGATATGTCCTCTCCTCTCTCAATAAAAGCAAAAGTAAGCATAGAGACATGGAATGTCCGAACAATTTTAGAAACTGGCAAGGCTGCACAGATCACAAACGAGATGAGAAGGTATAACATAGAAGTGTTAGGAATCTGAGAAGAATCTCCAAATGAAATCGAAGTGGACTAAACAAACTGTGGAGAGGAGACGAGAGTCAATAATCTACTCCGATATTGTCACCCAGACAACAGCCACGAGTACACTGTGTTATGGAGTGGCTATCATGATCTCCTCAACAGCATCAAAGGCTCTCATGCAGTAAAAACTCACCTTCTCCTGCAACATCATCACAGAAGAAATCAAATCGACAGGAGGAAACTTACAATCATACAATGCTACACTAAGCACCTACAAATAATCCACATCAAGAGAAACATGAGGAATTCTACACACAAGTGCAATCAGTACTACAGAAGACCCGAACTCAGTTGGCGACATCAGGCTGGTTGCCGTTAGGAAGAACAAATCATGTGAGGATCAAATTGCAACGATACGCTACGCATTGTCATACAACAGAGCATAGAATGGCAGTCAAGTCTCTACCTCAACTTCATCCACTTTGAAAACGCCTTCGATCAAGGCTTCGACTGAGGAGTAATCTGGCAACTGCATCAACACCACGGTTTCAGGGCCACAAACCTGTATCAACCTCACTCAACACTTATGTGCTATACTGTATGATGCCACATGTCAAGTGATTCACAACGGAAAGCTCAGTGATCCCTCTGAAGTGAAGTGAAGACAACAGTAATACAAGGTTGCCACCTACTATCACCTATCATCTTCCTGATAATTGTGGTCAACTGAATGGACTGCATTCGATTGGATCATGCAACAAACTGTGAGGAGCAAGAAGATGGCCACACGCTGTTTGACCGATGAAAAGACCTCAGAATATTCGGATTTCGCCAATCATGTTTTATGTCTAATGTCTTGTCGCACAAACTCGAAGATCTATAGGCAAAAACCAACAAGTTGACAGAAGAGGAGAGGTGGTGAAGGGAGAAGGTACTTCTTTCAGGTGAACGTACAGAAGACAGAGGTGATGAAGATACCCAAACAATAACAACAACAACAACAACAACAAGCATCAATCACCATCAACGGGAGAAATCTAAACAAAGTTGTCTCTTTCACCTACCCACCTGCCTAGGCAGCATCGTCTCAACTACAGCCGACACAGGCACAGATGACGACATCAAAACCACGATCAGAAAGACAGTAAGACAGGCATTCAGTTATCTGAAATCAGTGTGCAGATACACTGCACTGAGCTGCACTCTACTCAGTATAAACCATGAACTAGACCTGCATTTTCAACACTAATGTCAGTCAAGTCTGTGCTTCCATACGATTCAGAAACTTGGCACGTCACGAAAAGTATTTACAATAAACTACACACATACATCATCAACAGCTGCCACCCACGTTCACTCGATACTGAAGATCGGTCACATGGTCAGAATAATAAGAATAGGCAACAAGGAACTCTGTCTGGCTGGCAACGAATCAACCAACAACCCATCGCCCAACAAGTATGCAGAAGAAAGTGGTGGTGGATTGGATTTGGCATACACTGAGAAGACCATTCGGGACATCACGCACCAGGCCAGTCCGTGTCAGGCCGTCGAGTGGAAGCCAAAGGGGAAACGACGAGTTGGGAGTCCGAAGCGAGGGTGACATGGATGAGATGGTGTGGGGAAGAAGTGAAAGCTTCTGAGTAGTGTTGGAGCCAGGTTAAGAGAGAAGACTGCAGAGAATAGAGTGCGATGGCGACGTGCTACTGAAGCCCTATTTTCCACTAGGAACCCAAAGGACAAATAATAAAGTGAAATAATAAAGCTACTTTATATGTGGCACCGAGTGGAATGATATCCAACTACCTATCAAGGACGTATAAACTGTATGCTGAAGTCCGTTCTATCCTGTTGCACGACTGTGAGACATAGCTGTTAAAAGTAGAAGACATGAAGATATTACAGGGTTTTGATTATAGTATCTTCGCAGCACTGCTCGTGTTTGTTGGGATCACCGTGTAAACAATGTTAGGGTTAGGCGAGGGGTACTAGGCACTAAGTAAGGCTGTGTGGTTGTGAACCTTCATCGAATGATATGATTTGAACATGTGTCACGCATCCTCAGCCACCACTTATCTTGACGTATCATGCAAGAAGAAGTTGGATTAAGTTGGAAGAGTGTTCAGTGTGGCCTGACCAAGAATTGGTACCAGTCTATGAAATCCACCACTTTTGGCCTAAGCTGTTTAGGAAGATGTAAACTTCCTGGTTTGGATCTTTAAAACGTAGAAATCATTGGTTGAAGACTATTGGTGACATAGTCAAAATTGGTCACAATTTCGTTGATGTATTCACTCCCTGACATCTTCTAAGGCTTCAATGTTTTCACTAACATTTATCGTTGAGTCGTTTATTCTCTCGCACAACCTAGTCTTCTTTGAAATCACTCTTTTTTCTATCCACTTGTTTTTTGTGTGCTACTATGAAGTGTGGCAACGTGAACCGATGCACCTGTGCGAGAGATTCTACGTTGATTTGTCAGTCAGTCAGTCAGTCATAATTACATATTTACCCCTTGAACAATTATTTACATTGCAGAAGTAAAAATACACCTTACACGAAACAATATGGAATTATTTAAAAAAAGAAAAAAGGTCGTAGCGCTGACTTACTTTGACTAACTCATCTTGATCATCAAACTGTAATGTACAATCACCCCATCGGCATGTTGTCTCAACAAAATCTGGATCACCCTCTTGTGGAACACGTCCATCATCATCTATTTCTCATCATCATCTCCATCTGGTTCTTCAATAGAACAATGTCCAACTCCAACATTATTGTTATTATTATGACTGCTACAATCACGTGTTGAGTTTCTGCGAGTCACAGTTACACCTTGACCTTGCCATTTAGCTAAGTGTTCAATGGTTCCTTGTTTAAATATTTCTGCTGGCGTTGCTACTCCCGCTCCAGTTACTGATGATGATGCTGTAGTTGCTTTACCTGCACGATTAAGATTTTTTATACTATGCATTTGATTTGATGAATCATCACTGAGTTTTCTTTCGGAATGTTGTTGTTGCTGATGGTGGTGTAAGGTATTGTGTACATTAGTACTATTACTGTTATTGATAAGATAATTATTATTAAAATTGCTCAGTGCACAATGCTGTTTCAGTAAATCTTTAGTTAGTGTTGGGCACAGCAAATTATTTGATCCACTATTGTTATTGTTATCATTTTGCATAAGTTTAGACATTCCTGTTTTCGAGAATGTTGACGATAAATCGATTTGACTAGCTTTTAACGTCCATTTCTTCGAATAGATTCATTTAGTTTATTCATACACTTTGTACTACTATTATTATTGTTGTTGTTAAGCCATGTGTACGGCCATTCAGGTGTTGGTGTTGATTCAAAAGGCCAGTGTAAAGGATACATAAATGACGAGGGAATATTACTATTACCGCCAAAACTATTACTATTATTATTGTTATTATTAGTGTGTATATCATTGTTACTATTTTTATTTGTATGATTTGTTCATTGTACAACGTTGAAGACGGATAACATGGTAACAGTGGCGGAGGAGGGGGCAAGGACTTTTGCATCATACCGTGCTGATTACCTTCACTATTTACTGTATCCATGCAAACATCATCATAACAAAGAAGTTTAGTTGGTGATATATTTCCATTATTATTTGGAATATGATTCGACAAAATATTACCATTATTAACATTGTTGGTTAAAGATGAAGAAGGCTTCAGAAAGCATGAAGGCACTAGATTATTACACATAGAATTGAGTGATTCATGTAGGTTATTTTCAGAAGGCCATGATACTGAAACATTGTTGCTATTATTACCATTGATTGGAGTAAGCGTTGATGTATTTGATTGGCATTCAGTAGATGAATGTTGATGCAAATTATTTCTACAGTCACGCTGAAATGTATTGTCTGGTACAAATTTATTTAGTGAGGATGTGTTTTCTCGATCTATAATGTTAGCTGATGATGCAGAGTTGGAGGAGGCCACAGCAGCTGCAGCTGCAGCTGCAGCAAAAGCCATTGCTGACTGTAGGACATTATTATTATTAGTATTATCGGCAACAACACTAGTAGCAGTTGTAGTAGATAACCCAACGATTCTACACGATGGTGTTATCATATTGGAAGCATTGACTGATAGATTTTTAGTAGGATCCATTGAACAACTGAATACAGAATTCGATTCTTGTTGTTGTAATTGTTTGCTTAGTGAATTTGATGAAGATAAAACTGCAAGATGCCCAAATGGTGCACGATTTAGACTACTACCAGTTGAACGATTACTACCAGCACTTGTTGATGTATACCCTGAATGTTGTTGTTGACATGATTGTAAACCAAGTTGTAATGTTAATGGTTTATGTGAATTTGTCTGATAACTATCAAATCCCATTATACCATTTCCACTTCCAACTGAATGAGGTGAATTAGGTGACCAAAATGGTGATCTATCACGAAATGGAGCTGGTGGAGCCGTCTGCGATGAATTACCATTACTGCCGCTGAATGTTCGAGGAATGTCACAAGAAGCTCCAGGACTTGCACCAAGCGATGCTAAACAATCAAAAAGATTTATTGAATGCATTATAAATTTACCAGGTTGAATATAAACAAAACAAACTAAACCTTGAATTGGAAAGATCATATTCAAAAGTACATAATCCCAGTAATTGATAGAAAAATTAAACTACTTAGAAGTATAATTATTTGTGCTGATACAATCAGCATCATGGTGGACTTGGATAGATGCTAAGCCTTATAACTTGGTTCCCATAGTGCAAAATGATTGATAGAATTTGTTCAGTACTCAAGACTAGACAACATGAAATTAGTTATCCACCTATGATAAATCAATATACCTTTTGAACCTTGTCAACAAGGTGTATCTTCAGTATTGAGTGAACTCTTTCCCATTGAAAGTTAAGTCCTATTTGTATCATTAGGTATGCTCAGCACAATAACTTACATGAAACATAGATTTCAAGCAGGGAATTTACTTTTCATTTCCATAGTTGAATAAATGAGTATAAATATCCAATAGTCAGTATGCCAATATATGGTGATTATCTCCGATCTGTCTTTTTTTGGTCATGAGCCTGATAATAACTGAAGTCTGCAAGTATTTTACACTCTTATTATCTTTATATATGACTGCTTTTTCTGTCTAATTACAAATGTTATTAATGAGGGCAATTCAAGATTCAATGGAACAGAATGTTGAGTACCTCATGATGAATGATGTTGATAATATTCAACAGGACCCCCTGATCAATCTAGACGCACTCTCTCTACTAACTTGTGTCAACAGGATGTGGATACAAATTCAATGAAACTACTTATACATCAGGAGTTTAAAGACATAACACTGGGTGCTACAGTAACTGATTAAATGATGAAGGCAACGAGACCTAAACAAGTCTCCTATTAGATTTAATGAAGCTTGTTAGTTAGACAGATGCCAACGTAATACCGAACATCACCTAGATAACTAGTTCACTAGTCACTAGTCGGTCATAAGCTCTGATAAAGAAGGAAGGTTGGACATACAGCAAGCAATCCTACTCCGTAAAACCAATCTAACCACTAAAGAAACTTCAAAGCACAAAGAAAATATAAAAAATAAAATTAAAGTTATTCCTCGCTGCAATCCGAGAGAAGAAATGAACCCAGTTGGTGAAAGCCAACGGGAACCCAATCGGTCGATATGTCCTCTCCTCTCTCAATAAAAGCAAAAGTAAGCATAGAGACATGGAATGTCCAAACAATTTTTGAAACTAGCAAGGCTGCACAGATCACAAACGAGATGAGAAGGTATAACATAGAAGTGTTAGGAATCTGAGAAGAATCTCCAAATGAAATCGAAGTGGACTAAACAAACTGTGGAGAGGAGACGAGAGTCAATAATCTACTCCGATATTGTCACCCAGACAACAGCCACGAGTACACTGTGTTATGGAGTGGCTATCATGATCTCCTCAACAGCATCAAAGGCTCTCATGCAGTAAAAACTCACCTTCTCCTGCAACATCATCACAGAAGAAATCAAATCGACAGGAGGAAACTTACAATCATACAATGCTACACTAAGCACCTACAAATAATCCACATCAAGAGAAACATGAGGAATTCTACAGACAACTGCAATCAGTACTACAGAAGACCCGAACTCAGTTGGCGACATCAGGCTGGTTGCCGTTAGGAAGAACAAATCATGTGAGGATCAAATTGCAACGATACGCTACGCATTGTCATACAACAGAGCATAGAATGGCAGTCAAGTCTCTACCTCAACTTCATCCACTTTGAAAAGGCCTTCGATCAAGGCTTCGACTGAGGAGTAATCTGGCAACTGCATCAACACCACAGTTTCAGGGCCACAAACCTGTATCAACCTCACTCAACACTTATGTGCTATACTGCATGATGCCACATGCCAAGTGATTCACAACAGAAAGCTCAGTGATCCCTCTGAAGTGAAGTGAAGACAACAGTAATACAAGGTTGCCACCTACTATCACCTATCATCTTCCTGATAACTGTGGTCAACTGAAATGGACTGGATTCGATTGGATCATGCAACAAACTGTGAGGAACAAGAAGATGGCCACACGCTGTTTGACCGATGAAAAGACCTCAGAATATTCGGATTTCGCCAATCATGTTTTATGTCTAATGTCTTGTCGCACAAACTCGAAGATCTACAGGCAAAAACCAACAAGTTGACAGAAGAGAAGAGGTGGTGAAGGGAGAAGGTACTTCTTTCAGGTGAACGTACAGAAGACAGAGGTGATGAAGATACCCAAACAAACAACAACAACAACAACAAGCATCAATCACCATCAACGGGAGAAATCTAAACAAAGTTGTCTCTTTCACCTACCCACCTGCCTAGGCAGCATCATCTCAACTACAGCCGACACAGGCACAGATGACGACATCAAAACCACGATCAGAAAGACAGTAAGACAGGCATTCAGTTATCTGAAATCAGTGTGCAGATACACTGCACTGAGCTGCACTCTACTCAGTATAAACCATGAACTAGACCTGCATTTTCAACACTAATGTCAGTCAAGTCTGTGCTTCCATACGGTTCAGAAACTTGGCACGTCACGAAAAGTATTTACAATAAACTACAGACATACATCATCAACACCTGCCACCCACATTCACTCGATACTGAAGATCGGTTACATGGTCAGAATAATAAGAATAGGCAACAAGGAACTCTGTCTGGCTGGCAACGAATCAACCAACAACCCATCGCCCAACAAGTATGCAGAAGAAAGTGGTGGTGGATTGGATTTGGCATACACTGAGAAGACCATTCGGAGACATCACGCACCAGGCCAGTCCCGTGTCAGGCCGTCGAGTGGAAGCCAAAGGGGAAACGACGAGTTGGGAGTCCGAAGCGAGGGTGACATGGATGAGATGGTGTGGGGAAGAAGTGAAAGCTTCTGAGTAGTGTTGGAGCCAGGCTAAGAGAGAAGACTGCAGAGAATAGAGTGCGATGGCGACGTGCTACTGAAGCCCTATGTTCCCTTACGAGCGCAAGGGACAAACTATACTAATGGTAATAAATGTCATGCGGTGTCAAATGTATAGTATCAGTCTTGTTTGGTGAATGTTTTAAAAATGTAACTACCTGGTAGGTCATACTTCATGTATTGGGAACGAGCCTTTATCGTCGAAGGAACGAAATTGGCTGCAAAACAAGGCAAATGAAGTAATATTTTGTTGGGTCTTGTGTGTACATTGCTGAGAAGTCTTATACTAGGACGAAACAGCTGTCCAGTGCTCTTATGTTCCCAATCGTTCTCCCAAATGATATCAATCCATGATGAACACCAACCTGACATTAATAAATAAATCCCCACAAACCTCCGAATTGAATTAATCTAGTGTTCGTTGGTGACTTGCTTTGAGAGATGATTGCCGAAGTTTTAATCAAGAGTCTTACCCTATGGGGCTAATCAAGTCGAACATGAGAACAGATAATAAACGACGGTACTGGATGGAGGTCATATTATATCGCGAACTGACAAAGGTAGGAAATTTGGACCATCGGATTCCGACCCAGTGACTCATTGGTAATGTGCTGGCTGCCGAATCTAATTGTCCTGGATTCTTCTCTTGGCAGAATCATGGGTGCTCACTGCTGAGAAGTCCCACAATGGGACTAAACAGCTATGCAGTGCTCCCAGGTTTCCAGTGGTTCTCTAACTGATGTCAGCCCATGATAGGTACCAACCAGAATAAAATGTCTCAAACTAAGTTAAGGGGAAATACTTACCCATATTCTGTGTAATACCGCTGAATACACATAATTTATGTTTTTGCTCACTTTTCTAGTTCTAGAGAAATTCCAAGCATTATTCATACAGTACCAACTGTTTGCTTACATTCCTCAGTCAACTTCAAAGATGACCCAATAAAGCCAAAACAATTCATTGTTGATTTCGAAGTTTGCGGTATTACACAAAAGGTACTGGAACGACTGAAACAGTTGAGGTCTCTTTATAGCTGAAGATACACCTGGCTGATAACCAACGAGCAAACTCATGGTCTAAACAAAACACGACTTTTAGTTTGGCGTTATTTGTTGAAGTCTGTTGATAAGAAGACCTGCGCCGAGGTTTCCCGCTTATTCGCTTATTTACTTATTTGCAATCATGATGGAATTGGTGTTCATTTGGTGACTAGTACCAGTGTCACTCAATTCTAAATTTACAGACTTAACCATTAAGCTGTTCAAGTCATGGCTAACTTGTTGCAATACTCGGTTGCGAATGCAAGTGAGTAACAAGTGGTTGGTACAGATATCTGTCCCTTGGCGTTTATACAGTGCACCGTAGTGTCCTATCACTTAGCTTACTAACCATATCCCAAACTCGATGGGAAGACTTCGACCAGTCCTCAACAGTACGGACTACACAGATACATTGCTCGTTCAGTGGTCATCACTTTGCAAACAACCTCTTAGCGATTGCATTTAGCCATTCAATTATTCACTAAAATGAGTTCAAATTCCGTGGAACTTTATATATACGAAACGCACTCAGCCACCGTGCGCACAACCGTACAGTAGGCAATGAGTTACACCTGTTATGTGAAGACTGGTTACACTACCTGACTGGCCAAACCCCGGGAGGCGGAAAGGGGCCCAAACCCATAACCCCATGATTGTGACAGTCATCTCCCTACACAAGTGATCCACAGCTCCCCATGTAACCTTATTTAGTACCCATAATGAAAATACTGTCAGCATCAACAACTAATCAGTATGGAATACCTACGTATTTAGTTTAGTTCTATAAGGAACTCATCTGCAACTCGAACTGCCTGTGGTTAGTGATTTGAGGCTGCAAAGCCCCCTTCACCTACTGAAGTTTTGGCAACCAGATACCATCATTAGTGATTACATAACCAACCTAACTCATAAGTGGATTCATGAATCCATGCTGATTGACAAGTTTTTCGTTCACTCATTCAATCATATCTATGAGAGTGTGTGGATGCAGCACAATATGGATCTACTTTTTGACGGCGTTGTGTTCTCTGAGATGGATGGTTTAATCGTGAAGTTTTCATTGCCATTCTAGGAAATATCATGAGCACAAACTTCAGGAAGGTCCACGTCTGTAAACCACCTGATATTCTTAGATGTGTTTTACTGACCAGCACTCAGAAGCACAAAGCCAAGGCCAGAAACAGTCACTTGTTTACTTTTGTCTAGCAATCTAACCTTCATGATATTCTTCACATCAGTTGTTTTCGTGACCCTAAGTAGTTGCTAGGACTAGAACTAGTACATATTTATATTTATAACTAATTTGAGTAAGATGGAAATTAGAAATACGACTTATCGATGGTGCATAGATTCATATACAAAAACTAGGAATCTTATAAACATTATAAGATCTAGTATAATGCTAATAGGCTGCTCAAACAATAGCAGATGAGGTGTCTGAAAGGAAAAGTCATAGCTTCATCTATTCAACTGAACAGTTTATATTACATAATCATAAAAATAACTACAAAAATAAGCTGTTAAAAATATCGGATTATCTGTATACATGATCACTTTACCAACTTACCAGCAGAAAGATGACCATATGAACCTTCACCACTTGGTCCCATACTATGTGAGCCACGCATTGATTGCATAATATTCAATGAACCTTGTGAACTTCGAGTTAAACTAGATATATCAAATAATTCATTTACAGATGATTGAGAATGTGAACGTTTTTTACCACCACGAAGTATTGGTCCTGAATGATTTGGAATATAACCGCTACTATGATGTCCACGATGTGGAAATGGTCCATAATGATGTTGATGACTGGATGTTAAGCCTGAAGTAACAGTATTGCCAGATGTCGAATTCATTAATGATGGTGGTAGAGGTGGAGGTGGGAAATAAGAAGAATGTTGTGAAACAGGTAAGTTAGGTGGATGCGGAAGAGATGGTGGTAATAACGAGTGGAATGGTGTATTCGTTAAAGCATTTGCTTGACACATAAAAGCAGCTGAACTTCTATCACAATGCACTGGTCTGATATTTTCGTTCCATCCATGTTTATTCATACTGTCAGTACTATTTAGTGATGATGGATTAGCGAACCATCTGCGTACAGCATTCAATGCAGCTGCTGCAACCATATTCGCTTCCGGAGATGAAGATTCAGTCTTATTGTTTCTATTTCGAACGGAATCCAATATCTTTTCGTTTGAAAATATCGGCCTGAAATAAGATTAGAGATGAGAAAGTTTAACCTACAGAGCGGGAATTCAGAAAACTTTCTTATGTGGAACTAGATGATGTCGTAACAATAAATCTTAAAATGCAAAGAGCCTTACACTTTGAAGGCGTTGTTGTAGTGAAGACATTTTAGTGAGTTACCATTGGGATGGTGATCAAATTAAAATTGAACTTTGAATAAAGAAATAAATTCTTTTAAGTAGAACTTAAGCTGTAAAGTTTCCTACGGAAGGAAAGCAACAAACCTCAACTCTCCTAGTCTTAAGTTTATCTGGACACTCTACACATATCAAGAGAATCCACATCTACGAAGTAAAAGGCTTTGTATGATACTTAACCACTAAAACTCAGAAAAAGGTTTGTATATCATCAGATTATTGAATTGAGATATAAGAAAGTAGCTGATGAAACCTAACTTAGAGGCCTGCAGGTTACTTTTCTATTCTAAAAACCGGAGGTTTGTGATTTGATACCAGGTAAACTAACAAAATGCCTACCATTAAGGCGCATCACGAAGAAATACAACAATGCTACCAACCGAGAGAAGGCATAAACACATAAGCTGAGAGTTCTAAGTTATAAAGAATTAGCTGTTCAATACTTCTATGGTTTCAGAAGATCTTTAACTTATGTCAATCAGTTGCCAGAAACCACTATGAAGACAATACAACAGTCTATGGGAGTTATACTCAATGTATAATTTTAACGTAGACTGCATAAATGCGTGATAATTCATAAAAAATTATCAGATACTGGCTCCACCTTAGTCACTATGGAATGATGTACATCATAACCTTCAGTCTTGGATATTGAACAAATTGCAATGAACAAGTTTGTGGTATGACTGCTAGGTCAAGTAAATGAAAACTACAGTACACTATGCTTCATACTGTTCTGTTGGAAATAGTAAACAAGAAATTCTGCTTGAATCTGAAATCATTTCTCAATGCATTTATCAACAACTTCTAAAACTTTTAGGGAATTTTTTCGATTAGTAGCTATTGCTCTATGGTGTAGGCACAAGACTTTAAACCTATTAGTGATGGTACCGAACCCTCACCTTCACCTGCCTAGGCTTGGGTAACAACATAGCACTACCAACTCACACACAATAACTGCAGCCTGCTTATCTTCTCCATAGTCTCGGATATGCTTCTTTATCCTCTACAGTTATAATCACTCTCATTGGGCTACTTAAACATTGGGTGGTATTTGCTGTAACTGACCACCATCCGACATTGTACTATGAATTCGACTAGTTCCTATTACCTTTATTGTCAAGATCGATAAAACGAAGCTTCACCAGGTAATGTTTATTGTGAAGATGCAAACTAATTATTAATCTTTGACTTTGATGAATTATTATAATACTCGTTTTTAATCATAGTTGTGGTAGTAGTAGATTTTGTAATCTTTTGCAATAAATCTTACAGTTATTCACCATATAAACTAATTGTAAAATCCTTATTTTACTGATAAATATCTCCTTTTCTTAAGAAATAAGTTTTATATTCTCAGTCTTCTCTAATTGCATACATTAAAGTATTATGGGTAAATTAGTCAAACCGTCAATGGTCTGAAGTATTTTTAGTTACGCAATATCAGATCTTGTTATTTATGAGTTGGTTAGTTTCAGAATAAATCTAGACTTGCTAACCTCCCATCATTTAAAGCAGACAATCCTTTAAATGAGTATAAAAAGAAGGCTATATATAAGTGGTAAAGAGACATCTCAACAACAATATTTCTAGATGAGTACACCCATAAATGTAAGCTATACAGAAAAAAATATATCACTACCAAGCTTCATCTGAAAACTCTTCATTGTCCATCTAGAAAACAACGGAAGACAATAAAACTTGAAGAGAAAAAGATGAAGGTACCACTTCTGAAACAACAGAAAATGCATAGCATAAATATATAAATCAGATGTTCTCAGTATATAATGATAATGAAACAAGTGATGAGTATAGAAGTAAGTGGTCAAATGTTTTATTGTCTTGGAATAGTAATAATAATAGCAAACCTTTCAAATGTACATCTAACTTTGAGATGTCTTGATAACAAAATTTAGACATTATAAAATATTTCATATTCAATCATAAAACGCCTATTTCTATTTTTAAAAATACCCCCATTCTAATGCACGTGATTTGAAATGAGACTCTACAAAAAGTGTGTAAAACACTATAAAAAAAAACAACGGGGTTACAATGAAATGATGTCGTTTTTTCTGACCACCCATATATCTTTACAGGAGTGAAATACTTCCACCGCGGCTACACAGATATCAACAACGTCCATCATCGTATGACAGAATCAATTTAGGAATATGATACAAAGAATTCATCTGAATATCATACCTGAAACTGATTATCAGTGTGAATAATATTAATGGCATTATAAGAATAATAACAGAATACTAAGTCATTTCAAAGTGGATTATGTTAAAATATTTTTGTTTATAGTTATTATGAATACTCTTCCTTTAAAGGTTTAAGTTAAATCTAAGAAAGTAATGAACTAAAAGTTAGTTGTCTTTTCTATTCTTTTGTAAAAGTACAAATGAAATAAACCTAATTTGTAGATGATCTCCTGTAGAAATGGACTATTTAGACTTTTCAAATAACACAGTGAGTATGACTGCTAAAAGCTAAGAACTAAGGCCTTCCGTGCATTTCTATGAATTTAGTGGTAATGTCAACAAGCTGAATGATGACATGTCTATAATAATCAGGTACCGAAATTCAGATAATACCAAGCAATTTCTACACTGTATTTCTTGTTCAAAAGAGTTGGATTTGCACAGACACCAAGTAAACAACAAAACATCTGACTCGTAACTAATCTCTTGATGTGGTGACCCAATGAGATATGGCTTCCTGGAACGGTAGTTCCCTGAAGTCTTATAATCAATATCATCATCTTCTAATCTCTATTCGCATTTCTATGCTAGTGATTTTGCATAACCCCTGCATCCTTATATCTCTACAGTTCATGATAATTATCCAAGTGTACGGAATAGCATTTCATGAAACTGCTCTTCAAATTACGTAGTAGAACTTTCAATGTTCACAACTTTCATCAAATCGGACAACAAGCTTCGCCAACTAAAACTCTGGCTGGCAACTTAGGCCATGGGAGTGTGTTGTGTTTGTGAGACATGCATACAGCATCCAAGAATGGTTATTCTCTTGACTTCACCTGACTAGTGTGGTGAGTTTGTAAAGTTCATGTTTCGCTAACTCAAACACTGCCCTTCGAATTAAGTGTAACATCAGTTCTATCAAAAATTCCATAAATTCCGGTGAAAGTCAAACGTTCAGATATGGCTGCCTCACCAGATGATTTCAAAGCAGAAATGGGGTGGCCAACCCATACAGAAAGGCACATACGTAGTACTTTCAGAATCCTAGTCAAATTAACGGAAAATGGAGATCACCTGCTAAAACTGTGCTCAGACAACCACCTGTTGCTGGTCAACGCTGAATTCAGAAATAAAGAAAAACGTTGAATGACGTGGCGTCTGCTGACCTAAACTAAGTGGTAGGCGAAAACAGACCTTATCGTTATCAGCTATCTCTGCAGAAACTTGGTAAACGATTGGCGCCTTTTCTGTCGTATGTGCTGATCTGAGAACACCTATATCTGTTCCTAAATGTGTTAAGGTTGTTATGATCGCAAACAGATGAAGAATAAATTAAAGTTACTTTCAAAAAGGAGCTGGCCGAGGAGTTAAGGGAACTCAACAACATTACTTGTTTTTGAAAACTCTGATACCCTGTAAAGTTTGTAGTAAAAACGGGGGTAAATACCGAGACTGACTTTCACAAAAAGGTAAGAAAGGGTCAATGAAACTCAGTAACCTTATGCAAATTGATGGATCCACATCAACGCAGTTCAGCAGGCTCTGAGCACACTGAAGGGTGAAAACAGCTCAAAAAACTTTACGCAGCGACCATGAACAGCAAAGTCTGAAAGGATGGTAAAGTCTTTGATGATAGGCAAAATTAGGTTTTCTCGGGCTAATCAAGAAAACTGGGTGAAAAAATCACAATACAGGAGTAAGACTTGGGTACTGTGGTAGATTGACATCAAGTGATATGAATATGGACAATAAATTATGTCCGAAACGCTATCCAGTAAATAATACGGTTTCACTCTGACATTTCTAATTGACAGAATGAAATGACAAAAATTAGTATGTTAGTGAGGGTATGGCGCAAAAAGGTGGTCTGAGATCTATTCACAAGAAAGACAATTGAAATAATTTGCGATAAAATTCGAGGAGGACTTCAACTGACTTATATCTATTCTTCACTTTACTACTACCCGTTGCATCCCAAACTCTTGCAGATGTTAAGAAGGCTGTAGGTTGTCTGCAGTGAAGTTCAACAGGCTCTCATGGGTTGATAGTGAAGGCTTTTAAAGATGATGACAGAAGATATCTGTTAACCTAACTGAAGTGATAGCTAGAGTGTGCAAAAAAGATACGACCACCTCTGACTGAATTCAATCACTTATTTTTTAAGTCTTCAAGAAAGAAGAATTTTCTCACGATAAACAGAAAGAAATCAATATGACGAATAGTTTCGAAGATTTTAGGCTCTTATGTTATCAGATGTTTAAGTGAAGTTCGGATAGAAAACTAGGTAGACTCTAGACGTGGTCATAGGCCTATCTACCGGATATTCGCTCAATGAAAGGTCTGAAAATATAGCAAACTTAATGGCAGTCGACCCTATATGTATTTCTTGACCTGAAAGCGGCATTTGACCCCGCTGCTAGAAATGTCTTATGACAGTATCTCTCACAATAAGGTGATCCCACTAATTAAGTCACACCATTGATCTTAACTTCTCGTCGTATCTGTACAAACATAAAGATATTTAGCTTCATCGCAAATGTTCGTAGACGTATCCCTTTCTTCGTCTAACCTTACAGTGGCTGATTTCGTCTCAGGAGACTATCCAGAAGATTTA